AGAATTGCGAAAACGACGAGCGAAAGCGACAGGGACAGGGTATGGGAAATGTACGAGAGACCGTGTCCGGAGAATCGAGCAGACGAAGAGATGACAGAGAATGATGGGACGGAAGGTGAAAGGCGAAGAGTCGAGTCGATAGATATAAGGCTACATGATGATGCAGGCGTTGCGGAAGCGCTTCTTGTTGCGCTTCTTTGCAGGTTCAACTGGGATGCGCTCGCGCATCTGTCGGGTCAGGTCGGTGAAGACATCGAGCACATGCCAATTGCGCTTGGACGAAGTCTCATATATGGGGACGCCGCCCCAGCGCGCTGACAGCTGGTCGAGTGTATGTGTACCGATCTCGCGCTCGCCAGTCAAGTCGAGCTTCGTACCGACGAGAACAAGTGGGAAAGTCTAAAGATAGCGAGGGTCAGGTCGTGGACGGCGGGTGACATGGTGACGCGCACGCTATCTTCGCCCTTTATGCGATAAATCTGTTCGCGAAGCGTTTCAACTTCCCGCAAGGAAGAAGCTTGGGTCAAACTGGGCAAATGGTCAACTCCCTGGGTTCAAATGAATAACGAGTGCATGCACGAACCTGAAGACAAGGATGAACCCTTGCCCATGCTAATAACCGATTGCATCAGTGCGCGTGAACACGAGGTGAAGGGCAGGACGCGTACGGTGATGTACATCTCGTTCAGCGCAGTGAATTGTTCCGCGCCAGCGGTGTCCAAAACCTCAATCTATGTGCACCGGTCAGTATAGTATTCACCAGCCGGCCATTAGACACTGGTCACATACCATAGAAAGTTCACCATCGACCTCGAAGGCGCGCCGGTACGCCTCTGTGGCCCGAGTTAGTACGGTTTCAGCACATGGCGCAATGGAAGATATTCGCGCCTTCAATGGTAGGGTCATAGACCTCAACGAACTCGTCGCGCACAAAGCGCACGGCCAGCGCGGATTTGCCGACGCCTCCAGCTGCGTGCCAATGTGCTCGCGTCAGGGCATGTGATATTGGCGTATTTGGTAAGACGTACCACCAAGGACGACAGCCTTGAACTCGCGCATCGTGGGCGGTTGGCGTCAGTCGCGCTGCATGCGACAGCAGGAGCTGCAGGTCGGACAGAGATGACGGAGCTGAGCAGAAACTCAGAGGCCGATCCTCAGGGGAAACCCAACCCGAACCGACTCACTCCGGCTTTTACCCGCACGGCCACCTTGCCGCGCACGCCGATCCCATCCGCCCGACGATCTTCGTAGCTCGTACTCGTTCCACCCAGTGCTTCTCGGCTAATACTCTATCACATATCATTGGACCTTCTAGCGGCATCGCGCCTGAATCTAGCTTCTGTATCTGTATTTTATCGTTACTCCTTCGCACGTCGTGACGACATCATCCCAAAGTGGACTTCGTCCTTCCCGCATCTTGCCCGAATCGTACCTACGGCGAGCTTCTGAACCGCCTCCAGGCTACGAGTTCAAGACATCTCAACCATCGCGCACTCTCGCTTGTCTAGTGTTCGCCGTACACGGCCATCACGCTGCGCGCGAATGAACGTTCCTTGCTTACGCTCAGGATCTGCTGTCCGCGGGGGCCGGAGTTTGTTCAAGCGAACGCATCGATGCCTCTCCAGATGCCCGTTGACCAATGCAGTCACATTGCGATCTACAAGAGTGCATTCATGACACTATTCCACGCTTCTCGTACCCAATACCGCCGGACCGCTATACGTCCAAGAATATGCTAAGAGCTTCGCCGGCGCGCGACGGTCTTCATGCATCGCCCAAGCACACTCACTGACTACAGAGCGCATCACGCGAGTCGGAACTGCGACCAAACGGTACGTTCTAGCGCATCGCTGACCATGATCTTAGTGTGCTCACGAACGTCTTTGTCAAGCAGGACATTAAGCCTTCGACTTTACCCACATTCAGTAGTCAGCCCTCCGGACCTGGGCGGCGTCGGCCTGTATGAACTCGCACATCAATTCTTGCGACGATGTTCACTTCAAGCTTGGCATCCGGCAATGCAGCTTCATCTGACAACGCGTGGGAGGTTCTGCGACAGCAAAGTCCTCGGCCAGTTCCTGTCGGACCCCGGCCTTGCGAAGAGCGGAACGGAAAGTCGACTTTGCCACCCGGCGGCCCAACAGCAACATCGTACACCTGGGTCGCACTATTGGGAAGAAGGGTTCTACACAGATCACAGCTAGCTCAGCGCGTGTATGTCCACACTACTCGTTGTTACGGTATTAGATCCCTAAGACAAGCCGCTGAAACGAGCTACATACAGGTTGCGTTGTCAGTCTCCATTCCTCGCCCTTCACGAAACGCGTATTGTGCATACAGCGGTATCGCGCCTTATCTCACCGCAGATGGGCGCCTATAAGGGCGACTCGGCGTCGTGTGAGTATACGCCGCCCGTCGGCATAGATATGGCCCTAGTGATATACAGACATGCACGATCTCGGGACCGAATCGGATTTCTATACAACTGCAAGTCTCTTGGTCCATGCCTTTGGATGTCCACTCATCAGTGTTTCAGCCACCACTAGGAGGTTGCTTACGACAGTCCACGACCTAAGTAGTATCTCTTGCGCCCAATGCGGCTTTCGGTGCCGGAAAAGCCCTAGCTGCGTCTCATAGCCCTGGATAGGGTGCAACGGTCCACTGGTCTCCGGCTACACTCGATGACAGCTTGGATACGCATAAAAGGATGACTGGATACGATACCGCAACATACAACTCTCACTATCTCGACCATGACTGGACGCATCGTTCTCCTGGGCGCCACGGGTGGTCTTGGCCGCGAAGTTCTCGCGCACATCCTGCATCTCGTCGCGCCGACAGACCTCATCATCGCCAGCCCCAGTCCCACCCGCGTACGCGCAACCTGGCCGCACCTTTCCAAGGAGGTCGAGATACGGGAGGGCGACTATACCCGCCCGGAAACGCTCCCTGGCGCGTTCGCCCATGCCGACACACTCTTCCTCGTCTCATATCCCTCTATTGCACGCACGGAACGCGTTGTAGCGCATAAGACCGCCATCGACGCTGCTAGAGCGGCGGGTGTCAGACGCGTGGTGTATACCAGTCTCGCCTTCGGCGATTCGGGGACGGCGGTGGTTATGCGGGCTCACCTTGATACGGAGGTGTACTTGAAGGCGAGTGGGCTTGAGTATACCATCATCCGCGAGGGGCTCTACATCGAAGCATTCCCAATGCACATGGGTACGTGGAACTATACCAATCATCACGTTGTCTTGGTGAAGTGATATCTTGTATAGGTTTCTTCGACGCTCAGCGTGACACGGATGTGTACGTGCCAGGAGACGGACCCGTAGCTTGGGCCGCTCGCGTGGATCTCGGAGAAGCCACCGCACGTATCATCGCCGACGGACTCTACACGAACGAGACCGTGCTGCTTTCAGGACCCGCGAGGAACGTCCGCACGCTCACGCAGATCGCTCAGTTGTGCTCCGCGATCCTCGCTCGGCCGGTGCGGTTGCACGTCGTCAGTGAAGACGAGTACGTGGAGCGACACACGGACCCTAGTACGCTACCACGAGGTGACCCTGAGTTCTTGAGGCAATGGGCGACGAGCTGCGTTGCGATGTCGCGTGGGGAGACGGGCGTCGTGAGCCCTGCGCTGGAGGATATCCTGGGACGTCGTGCGAGAGGAACAGAGGAGTGTTTGAGGGAGTTGATTGGTAAAGAGCAGGATGCGATTACACAGTATGCCAAGTAGAGTGCTCGCGTGATCATGTTACATCCTAAAAGACCGTATCACTGTTGAGTACCACTGTGGTTCATGATCATGTCAGCCTCCGACTAGCGCTCGGCCTAAATTCCTGTGGTAATTCCGTCAAAAACCCGTCCCGGTGACAGTTGAAACGTTGAAGGTTGACGCGTTGACGAACGTTGATCGTCAGCTGAGCGAGCATAGTTCTGATACCAGAGAGTCGCCTTGACCTGAGGCTCTCAAAGCTTCACCCTTCCAGTCAAGCCATCTTCAGGCGAGAGAGCGTGGGCAGAGTGGATGACTTCCCGTAACGTTTTCGCCGTCCTACATGGCCCAGCGAGGGATCTTGATGGCAGGCACGGGCTCAGTGTAGGACGAGTCGCAAACCATAACACGACTTTTGAATGCCTCGTCGACGCGACAAAGCCGTAAGTCGCCCACGTGCTGCAGCCTCTTTCGGCGACTGTGCAGGACGTTCTTGGTGCCCATCACCCATATTCGGCCATTTCACGAGGAACGCGCCCTCTGCGCACCTCGATTTGGCCTGAGATTTTGATCGTGAGCAGGATTTCGCGTCTAGGAAGGGGTCCCGACCCCTTCCTACTCTTTCGTCCCGATAGATCTTGATGGGGCAGTAGGACAGCGCAAAACTTCCTTGACCTTGATTGCTGAGCTGTGTGCTGCCTAATCAGGCCTGTTTCCAGAGCAACAGCGAGTGTAGGACGCATGTAGGACGCCAAAAACGTTATGGGAAGTCATCCACTGCAACCGCTTCGGAGGTCACGCTTCGTCACCACGTAACAGTAGCTTCCATTCGGAGTTTGTCGGTTTCCTCTTGCCTTTTACCATTGAGGAATAGAGATTGGCGCTGTGACCGCAGAACTGCCACTGCACGTTGCCGGTCTCTGGAATCTCTATCCAATCTGCGAACTATATATACGCTGATGGTGCTTGCTCACATGTCCTGCCACTACTTGCCCGCGCCTTGCCGCTCTCTGCTCCCCACCTTCACACCGGTCAAGACGGTTGAAGCCGAGTCAAGACACTCGGCCACGGACTCAGTCTGCGTAGTCGTCCAACATGGTATCCTTCAGCCCGAACCTCGCGACTGAACTGGTATTTGCATATGTCCTGTCTCGATTCGCCCACCCTCGACTGCTCACTGCCTGCTCAGGACACAAGTGCATTTTTGCTGTCAGTGCGCCTCAAGGTCCATCATCTCGCCTTTGACTAACAAAAGTTCACGTCTTCTTTTCTTAGGCATGTGTGAGTTGTCTACGCCAAATATGTAGCATTCGGTACTCAATAACTGCGCCCTCCAGACGCTGTATGTGTCTGGGACTGGATTGTCTCTCTAAAGTACGAACATCAATTTGTATGTCGAAACACAATTGGTCTTGGTCGCACGAGGCTCAAGAAAGCGGTTTAGATATGGAAATCCCGGTGGACTGGCGTCAAGGTTGTGTACCTCTTCACAAGATATTGGGTCCTCGCGACGACACCCTTCATGCTATGGTGCTACTGTATTGACCATGGTCAAGAGACGTGTGACAGGGTCTATCAGGTATGTCGTATCAACGCTCACCGTCGTCTGCTCTCCCCCTGAAGCATCTACTTAGTTACCTGTAGCACTGGCGATGTGGAACCAAGTTGGGGCAGAAGGTATGTGATCTTTCTGCTTGCATCATCTCCTGGACTCATCTTCGTTGCAGCAGTTCTTTTATTGCGCACGTATGCTCTACACGAAGCAAATAAAATTGTCCTGGACGCTCTCAGCTCCCTTCTTTCCCTCGTCGTCGCCTATCAGCTCTGGGTTGATATTAGGAAGATACTACATAAGTAGCACACGCTTCCGTTAATCCAAGCTGAGCCCTCGGTCAGCTCTCCCCTTCCTGGATGGAATCAGTGGCCCTTGTTTCCCAATGGCCCATCCGGGTGAGGCAAACCTTCTTGGTATAAATCTGTGCATTGTGGTCCCCAGCGACAATGACCAACTTCCCTCAGGTTTCTTCCATTGCCCCCCTCGTCTTCGAGACTGTCATAACGCTCATGACTCTTGCCAAAACCCTTGCCATACGCCGAGTGCGTGAACCGTCAGGACGCCTGACACAAGTATTCGTGAAGGAAGGTTTCGTATACTTCGTGCTCATATCTTGTGCAAATCTGGTGCGCCTCCATTCTGCCGGCATGCGTGTGCAAGGTACCAACAATGTCTTTTCAGCTCAATGGCATCTTCTATTTGCAATGACACACCGAGATGTCGGTGATCATGCTTCCACTGAGCATATTACTTAGCCCATTGCTCGCTTGTCACATGGTATGTGACCGGCCCCAATCATCTTCTGAGAGCGACTTACGACTTCCGAATGTAGATCATTGATCTACGTGTAGGCGCGCATTACGGTTCCATCATTGTACCAGGTGAACGATCAACTCGGTCGCGCTCCAGTCGTACCCAAGGCAACAGTCATATCACGGTGTCTGGCCTACGCACATTGGCTCCTCTTTTGAACATCAAGCGTCTCGCGGATGTGGATGATCCGAATATTGAGCTCAACAAGTTCTCAATCGAACACCCCGGATGCAAGGTGGAATCACCAGTCAGCGCACAAATGTGTCACTCTGTTCAATTCCCTCATGAGCAGACTCCCGCCGAAGGCATTCAGGAAGACGAGGAGAGAGGCTTTGATGTACTGTGAAGGGATCTGCAGCTGCCCTCTTACGTCATATATCATTCATCAGTACTTATCGACTGTGTGCTTGCATTTCTTGACCTGTGCCGAGAATCACATTTGCTCTAGCACTACTGAATGTGTATGTTCCCCGGTCTGCGCTCCTACCGCACGTAGTTGCGCGCTTCCGCTCGCCAGCACCACAACAATCGTGAAAGATGTGGTTGTGTATACGGGCTTCGCACCCTATCCGGGCTCCGTCAAATGCTTTCGTATCTGTATGGCCGGGGCTATGGAAGTCGACCACGCACCTGTCGATGATGCACCGATGCCTCGTGGGTGACATGCATAGGGCAGATTCTCAGCAGATCCTCTAAGATCTGTTCACAATCAAGCATGGCTCGGCCTACTTGAGTTTATTCTATCACCCAGGCGGAAGTTGGGGCTGTATATAGTCGGAACCCAGCCTTCCCGCTTTCAGGAATGTCATATTCACTATGTTCCTCACATCCGTCATCACAAACTTCAATCTGGTCACCTAGTCTCTCTATCAGCACTACATTGCCTCGGCGACACCTGCCAGGGTCGTGGTATGCGACAATAAGATTGACGTGGCTGATCTTGCAGACCATTCGCCTCCAAGTGTCTTGCGCAGCTCATGGTCTTTTCATACAGTTTGGCCCGACTGAACGCATCACGCCACTGAGTAAGGTCATGGATCGGGATATATTCGCCAGCTAACATGCTTCTAGGATACTGGGTGCCCAAGAGCGATTTCTTCAAATTTTTTTCCAGAAATGATAAGGATCACACCCGCGTCCGCCATCCATTCAGTGGCAATAGGATCTCAGGGGTCGACATTGCCGTATATCTATCTTCGTTCATTCCCAGAATGAGCTTCGCAGAAGATCCTTCCCACCGCACTATACGACGGCCAACATAACAGTGTCTCAGCCTGGGATAAACGATCCCTCACATTCCGCATGTTGCCGTGGTAGGTTGAGCGGTACATCCAGCGGTGCGTATGTGATGACATTCTTGACCCACGCTCATAGTTTCTACGGCAGCAAAGCCATTCAACTCCCCTCATGTTACGTTCGGAGATGCTTGTTGATTTTATTTGCAAGACTTCTTTCAGCTTTAGTAACGGGTGTCGCGCAGGAAGAACACTCATTCAGTATTCTTAGTTCTCATATATCTCCCAGTGATATCATCATAGCCACGCGAGCACGATTACTTTACCGCGATACCAGAGGCTCTTCCACACCGGTCCATATTCCTCCGGTAGTCGGCCGGGCGGCGATGAGTATGGCGACTCTTCAACGAGTATACATGGGTCTCGCTTGAGTGGACGACTCGTACCCGTGAAGGCATGGCATCCGCTCAACAGGGTATATAGCAAGAGTTACTGAGACACCTTCATGAACTGACACATCAACAGAGATCCGCACATGTTGGACTATTATTGCAAGGAATGTCAAGACCACCGCGGGCCTCGTGACGACCAACTTCCTCGTGAGGGATTGCCGTGATGCGTTTGTTCCTTCCCTGGCTACTGTGTGCTGAAGACTAGAGCTTGCGACCAAAGTGTAGCATAGAACCCGTCGCAAAGATCCGTAGCTCGTAACATACTACACCTAGTTCCCATTCCCATGACATTCGACATTAAGTTACGAGTCTCACTCCTACCTTAGAAGATAGCCTATTCCTGAGTCTCCCAAAGCATCCAAAGCGCTAACATCGGACGTCTGACGTTTCTGGTCAAAGCCATTCCCTTGAAACGTTGATGGATTTTGAGAGAACGTGCACGACAGCGGCGGGGGAGAACGCATCGGCACGACGCCGAGAACTGTTGAAGGCACGCGACGAAAGGGGTGGAGACTGATACAAGGAGAAGCGCCTGTAGCCTCATGGCCGCACCAATAGCTTGGCCTAGGCCGATGCACGGGCTGAGTAGCGGACCTCTGGAACTCAAAGCCGCACAGTCAAGGGATCTTCCCACCCTCCTCTGTTACCAATTCTACGTCCGTAACCGAAGTTTTACCCCCCTTCCTTCTTGTTCAGCAATGCCCGCCAGCCGCACGCGTACTACACGGGCTCTCAGATCGCAGCCCAAGCCTGCGATGCGTAGCGTCACAGAATTGGATCCCCAGACTGCTGTTGGGAACGATGGTATGCTGACTTCGTGTTCAGCGATATGTCTAGGAAAAAATGTTAATTTTGCGCAGGACTACAGATCATCTTCGAAACACCTACGATATTTGGAACAACAGCAGCTTCCTCTGCATCTTGCTCACGGTATCATAGGAAGCCCTTTAAGCGCTCTCAGCCCTCCAAGCCCTCCAAGCCCTCCTCACGTTCCAAGCGCTCCAAGTCCTTCAGTTCAGCCAGTGCAGGACAATCATCTTCAGCGCGAGACGATGTGACGTCCGACTCCGACTGCGACTCTGAAGTCAATGGCGGCCAGGCGAGGGGCCAGCCGCGGGAGCGTGTCAAACGGCCACCCAATTCGTTTCTGCTCTTCTGCGCCGACTGGATTAAGAAGAACAACCTCAGCACCCTGGAGTCGGACCACAGAGTGCTCTCCAAGATAGCGGGAGTAATGTAGTGGCAACTCCCCGATGAGGAGCGCAACTTTTGGCGGTCGCGGGCTCAAGCCGTAGCGGAGGAGCACAAGAAGCAGCACCCCAACTATTCATTCTGTCCAGCCCCTGCGACACTTGAACATCCCAAATGAGTGCCGTGCCCGAAAGAACAACGGGAGATGGATCGTTGCCACCTTATCGCTCAACTGCTTCTGGAGGAGAAGACGAACGAGGAGCTCTTGTGCGCGTTAGAGCTGTTTGAAAAGGAGAATCCGGTCATGGCGCATTTTGCGGATCCCATTGTTTCAGAAGCCACAGCGCGCCCACAATCTCGAGAGCTCAACACCATTGCTTCTCCAGCACCTCGGTCTCCTTCTCGCACCTCCTCCCTTGCGGCTTCTTCAATGCTCCGCTTCATGCCGCAAAGCCCAGTGTATGCAGGTTCATCACCCACGCTGGATTCGAGGTCTATCTCGCCGTGCTTCACACGGTCACGCATCTTGCAGTCGCCTTCCGTTGCTTTGCTCTCGTCGCCGCTGAACTTAGCGGCCCCAGCACCGCAGCCTTGGCAATTTGCTTCATATGATGCTCATGTGAGCGGAGGCTTGGAGTATATGACGGGTGAATACTCTGAGCCAGAGGATGGCCTGATACTGTCCGCTTCACAGTCCGCACAACACCTCGTATGTAACGAGCGCCGACTTCGGGCGGACCAATTGTTGACGATGCCGCTTATAGAACTCCGACCCCCTTGCTTTCGAGTACGCATGGGTTGACGATCATGACACTACGTCTGGGACTGCGATCAGCCACGACGTTCCCTACGACGTATGCAGGCTAGACTTTGCTCACGGGCCGACTTTGGATTATCGAAACGACGGGATTCTATGGACCGCAAGCAACTCCTGGTATGGCATCAGTCACCTTGATGCACAGGGAGCAATGTGGTCATGGTCACTGTTCGGGTATGCCACGGGCGATGACAAGCTGAGTCCTATCTGGCGATCAGCGTGTTCACTAGGCAGTCTGGACCTCGGTCCCCTACCTGACTTCTCGATGGATATTACGACCGCTAGTGTCGATCTCGGCCGGGAACGTGGCACTACTGGACCGTCTGTGCCAGTGCAAGAGAACACAGAGCACTGGAGCACGCCAGTATCCGAGTGCGAAGGCCCTGCTGTGCTTCACGGGACTACTGCTTCGGAACAAACAGTTGGCGCGACCAGCATACCAACGTCCAGTCCCCTTCTCATTATGCAACCGGCTCCCTTGCCTTATCAGCCAATGGACAGAGTTCTTGAACATTGCTCATGAGACCTGGTCTTACTTAGTGCACGTCGCTGTAAAGGCTGTTTGATACGCACCAATCCACTCCTTGCTATATGTGCGTTCCGATACGCTGATTTGAGAATGAGGAATGAGGCCGCCCTTATTCGGAGTGGTATATGCAAAGTGCTATCCCCAACGTGTACCTGAGTACCTGCAGCATATCACGCGAGTGTGAATGAACGGACAGGTCCGGGTCGAAACCTGGCTTGTGAAAACGTGATATTGATTGCGCGGTGGGCTTTGTTTTGGGATTGGAGCGATAGGACCATGCATCGAGCAAGCGGTCAGCCATGATTCTCTGCATCGACCCCCATCGGCAGTATTGCGCACAATCTCTACAGCACAGGCGTCCACAGGACAACTCGACAGAGCGACAGGAGCGCGACTTGGTGGTTGATACGAGGTTTGCCTGAAAGAGGCAATAGCAGAAGGCCAGCTCTCATCGTTCTGGTTATACGTTCAGGTACTGAGATGCAGAAATATTCAGATAGAGCGATTCCTTGCAGTACTGGAAGACGGGTGGGAGTGACGGTGCAGTGCGAGAAGCGACAACGTGCGCGCTTAGGACTAGGCCCGCAATTTTAGGACAGAAGACGCGCGAACTCATCCCAAACCACGATCATCATGTATCGTGCCTTGCACACCTCCTCGTCTCTCAACACAGCAGCCTCAAAAATCCCGTTACACTTGTGACCATTCCAGGTGGAGAAAGAGCAGAAAGAGCGGCCAAAGGACGGGTACAGCCAGCGGGTATGAACACCAGCATCTCAACTCGTGCAAGCAGGGCCGGCAAAACGGCAGGGACGAGTCATCCCTGAGATCAAATGATGGGTGACAGTCTTTCCATCATGCGATATGGTGATCACCATGGTCAGGTATACAGGACACGATGAGCAGGAACACAAAAATATATGAGCTGTAGGCTCAAGGTAAGCAACTGGAAGAATTTCGAAAGATACATGTCTATCATTCACTGCTACACATGAAGGGCACGATGCTCGCAGACACCAGGATCGTTCACATGGGGCTCTTGAGGGCCAGTTGTATGCAACAGAACACAGGTATGGCATTTCCGTGCCGAATTCATCAATGCATAGCTCGTAAGCACTACACAATTGTCAACAACGCGCGAGCATGCGGCCAACACCCGTTATGCATCCCGAGCAAAGCCTGAGGACTACACGGCAGGACA